GCCACCGAGCCCCGCCGCCGGGCTCAGGAGGCCACAGCGGAGGATTGGGGTCCGTTAGCCTGCAGGTAGGCGAGGTCTGAACAGCCGCAGGGCAGACAGCCCTGGCCCAGCCGGTGACCTGCTGACCAGGCCCTCCAGGCATCAGAGTCCCTAGGCCCACACCCTCCCCAGCTCCTCTTTCTCCTGTGCCTCCGGACGTAGTGCGAGTGTGTAAGAGCCTGGGACGCAGAAGGCGCTGAATAAACATTGGTTGAAAGAACGTAAAGGCTCTCAAACGTTTGTTTAAGCAGCGGGGCCCTGTGTTCCGAGGAGGCCCAGAGAGCAGCCTGTGAACAGGTAGAAGCGGAGCCTCCCGGGCAAAGGCCTCGGGCTGCCTGGCTCTGGGATGGGAGAGGCTCAGTCCAAACACCTAGGCTTTGGGGCGGGGCCAGGGCAGCCGCTGTGCCTGGGACACGCCCCCGGCAGCGAGCGGTACTGTGCTTTCTAGGTAATTCCAAGCATCAGGCTGAGCTGGGAAACCGGGGCTGGCCTCTGAGCATTGGGGTGCTGCAGACTTCTTGATAAGGCTTCGCTGGGGGACGCCTTTCTGCCCCAGCTCCTGGGGGGGTTGCACCCGCTCACCACGTCCAGAACGTCAACGTTTTCCTGCTTTTAGAAGCTGAGCCCTGGCTGTTGGCTCCCCAGCTCCGTGCAGTTACGTGGACCGTGCGAGGGGCCGGCTGCAGGGCCTCCCTCCTGCCTGCTCCTGCCTCTGAGTTGCTCCCACGTCTCCTGCCCCAGAACACTCTCCGCCTGGGTCCCCAGGGGCTGTCTGCTCTCCCGCCACCGAGCCCTCTCCAGGCGGCGTGTCCTCGGGGGCCACCACCTGGAGCTGCGGTCCCCCCACCAGTCTCCACACCCAGCGACTGTCCCAGATGTGGGCTCTGCCCCCTTTTTGTTCCTGCCACCCTTTCTGGCCTCTGCCACCCAGCAGGAGAGGATTCACCCTGGCCGCCCGCCCCTTCCTGTCCCCAAGGCCTTCCCTGTGCCTCACGCCCCTGTCTCCCAGGTCCCTGCTGCAGCCTGTCCTCCCCAGACACCCGGCTCTCACTCAGGCCACCAGGTCCCTGCTGCAGCCTGTCCTCCCCAGACACCCGGCTCTCACTCAGGCCGTAGCCTCTCTCTCGGCCCCTGGAGCCGTCCTCAGTGCTCCTCGCAGCGGGGCGGCCGCCTTGCGCCTCCAGGTCCCTGGTGCGCCCTGGTGTCCCAGGTCTCCGCCCTCGGAGGCCAGAGCAGCACCTTTGGCCTTGAGCTGCCTGGGAGCGCCAGCCCACCTGCCTGTGCACTGCAGGAGGGGGTGCCTGAAGGAGCACCTGCCTGTGTGGCTGCTGCTTGATGCTCTGGAGCACACGGCTCCTGGGGCAGAAAGATGTCAAGGTGAAGAACTGTTGCTGTTGGCACTGAAACCGTAGCCTGTGATCAGCGAGCGACAGGGTGCCAGGCCTGTGCTGAGCTGTTAGCCTGCTTTCTCATTTCTCGCCTCCAGGGGTCAGTTGGGTGGGTGGGGGACTCTATGTGCTCCAGTGTCAGCTGAGGTGCTCAGAGCTGAACCTGGCTTGCCAGAGGTCACAGGAGGAAGCCGCGTGGCTGGGGTTCGGTCCCAGCGTGGTAAGCCCGGCATCCACGTTCTGTCTTGTGCTCTCGGCTCCCCTGCCGTCAGAGTCACTTGTTAAAGGGGCTCCTGTGGTCGGCTCAGCCTTTGGCTTCGTGGCGTCCCATGCTCACCAGCGGGCTGGGGCCCTGGGGCCCTTGTGCTGCCTCAGAGGGGTCCTGGCAGTGGGGCTCCAGGAGGCCCTTGCCCAGCTCGGACTCCATGCCAAACCGCGGGTCCTTGGGCCCATGCAGACGCCCGGCTCCCACCACGTCTGTCCTATGTGTGGGCTGTGCTCACAGTGGCGGTTGAACTCAAAAAACCCCAAACTCTAAACTGACGTTATGCGCAGTCGGAGAGCCCTGTACGGCCCGAGTCGCCCTCCCGTCTGGCGGCTTCCCAACCGCCCAGATAGAAACTTACGTCTGCAGCCGACAGTTGGCTGAATCTGCGGAAGAGAAACCCAGGGGTACTGAGAACCGACTGTTTACCGAGAAAAACAGCGTGTGCGTGGACCCGCGAAGCCCAAACCCACGGAGTTCAGGGGTCAGCCGAGCTGTGCTTGGGGGACTTCCTCAGCCCAGGGGGAGCAGGAGTTGGTTTCCTTTCCAGAACCCAGACATAGACAGGTGTGACCTCCACCTTAGCGAGGAGGCAGGTGGACGGTGTCAGAGCCCCTGTGTTCACGCACCCGCTCTGGGAAGAGCCGCCTCCCGGGCTCACGGCTCATTTCTAGTCTAATTCTCATCCACCTTCTTTTTTTTTTTTTAATATATTTTTTATTGATTAAGATATTACATATGTGTCCTTGTCCCCACGTTACCCTCTACCCCCCACCCCCCCCACCCCCGCTCATGCCCTCACCCCCCCGTTGTCCATGTCCATTGATTAGGCCTATATGCTTGCATATAAGTCCTTTGGTTGATCTTTCCCCCTTACCCCCACCCTCCCCTACCTTCCCTCCAAGTCCCGACAGTCCAATCAATGCCTCTCCGTCTCTGGATCAGTCCTTGTTCATCAGCTTATGTTGTTCATTATATTCCACAAATGAGTGAGATCATGTGGTATTTATCCGCTCTCCAGTTCCATCCATGCTGTGGCAAATGGTAAGAGTTCCTTTTTCTTCTTCCTCTTCTTAAAGAATACCTTTCAGCATTTCATATAATGCTGGTTTGGTGGTGATGAACTCCTTTAGCTTTTTCTTATCTGTGAAGCTCTTTATCTGACCTTCAATTCTGAATGATAGCTTTGCTGGATAAAGTAATCTTGGTTGCAGGTTCTTGCTATTCATCACTTTGAATATTTCTTGCCAGTCTCTTCTGGCCTGCATGGTTTCTGTTGAGAAATCAGCTGACAGTCGTATGGGTACTCCCTTGTAGGTAACTGAGTTTCTTTCTCTTGCTGCTTTTAAGATTCTCTCTTTATCTTTTGCTCTTGGCATTTTAATTATGATGTGTCTTGGTGTGGTCCTCCTTGGATTCCTTTTGTTTGGGGTTCTCTGCGCTTCCTGGACTTGTAAGTCCATTTCTTTCACCAGGTAGGGGAAGTTTTCTGTCATTATTTCTTCAAAAAGGTTTTCAATATCTTGCCCTCTCTCTCCTTCTGGTACCCCTATAATTCTGATGTTGGTACGCTTGACGTTGTCCCAGAGGTTCCTTACACTATCTTCATATTTTTGGAATCTCTTTTCTTTTTTCTTTTTCGGTTGGGTATTTTTTGTTTCTTTGTATTTCAAATCTTTGACTTGATTCTTGGGATCCTCTTGTCTGCTGCTGGATCTCTGTAAATTATTCTTTATTTCAGTCAGTGTATGCTTAATTTCTAGTTGGTCCTTTTTCATGTCCTCCATGGTCTCCCTATACTTATTGAGGGATTCATTAAATTTATCGGCGGTTTCCATAAAATTCTTGAAAAACCTTATAAACGTGGCCTTAAACTCTATATCCAATCGTTTGCTTTCCTCCATTTCTGCCATTTGTGACCTGTTTCTTTGTCTCCGCATTTTGGCAGCTTCCCTGTGTTGATAGAGTGGCCCTGTGCGCCAGGTGTCCTGTAGGGCCCAGTAGCTCAGCCTCCCCAGTTACCTGGGGTGGACACTCTTGGTGCACTCTTGGTGCCTTGGTTGTTGTAGAATCACTGGGAGGAATTGACCTCCAGGCCAATTGGCTGTGAGAATCAGCTGTGTCTAAAGTGGGAGAACTTCTGTGCTGAAGACACCCTTCTGGGGCAAGACTTGCTTCAGTGGGGCTTTGGTGCTCACTGAGTCTGCTCCCTGAGTGCGTCCCTTATGGATCTGAGGAGTTGCAGTCTGGATGGACCCCCTCTGACCACTGGGTACAGTGGCTCCTGGATCTAAGGAGGTGCTAATTCAGCCTCTGCCTGAGGCCACACAGCAGGAGCCACGAAGAGGCTCAGCTGTGAAGCAATGCAAGCCGCTGCGGGGCCTTGGGCCTTCTCTTGGAAGTTCCAGGTCTGCCTGGTTCGGCTGCAGTTAGGTACATTCACATGCAAAAGCCTCTGCCGCAGCCTGGGTGGGGCGGGGTCTCAGGGAGTCAGAGGGCGGAGAAAGCGGCCATGGCCGATTCTCCGCCCGGAGTCGTGCGTCTCAGTGTTCCGGTAACGGCTGCAAGCACCTCTGAGGGAAAGCCGCCCTCAAGTTCGCTCGCTGCCCGACAGACCAGCTTCTCCCCGTATGAGACCTGGGTCCCCAGAGACTTCCCGGAACCGGAGTTCAGAGCCGTGGGGAGTTTGTGATTCAAAAAGACAGCCGCGTCCTCAGGCGCCACCCCCTTTCCTCGCGCGCGCGCACCGCCGTACCTCTGCACTTCACCTCCGCAGCGCCTCTGGCTCTCAGCGTGCTTTTCTTTCCTTCTAGTTGTGGAATTTACACTCAGCCAGCCTTCCTGTTGTTCTGGGTGATGTTTGCTCAGTCCTTTGGGGTAATTTTCAATTGTTGTGTGAGGCGATAATTTCCCAGTGTTTACCTATGCCGCCATCTTAGTTGCTCCTCCTCATCCACCTTCTTGCCTGCATGTGCTTGATGGCAGTTCCGTCACCTGTTGGAGGCCTAAGAGAAATGTACGGCCCGTGAGAAACAAAGGACATTGGCTGCGGGCTTGCTTTTGGTTTCATTGGGAAAGGACCGTGTGTTGACCTCAGGGGGCGAGGTCCGCCTTCTGATGGAACCCTCCGGAATGTGGTGGCCCCGGGGGACGAGCCCTCGCAGGAGGTGGGGGTGGAGCAGACATAGGCGACAGTCCCTGACCAGGAGGAGGGTGGGCGAGCTGTGGTCTCCCTGACAGCCTCTCGGCAGCGTGGACTCACCTGGCACCCACGTGTCCTAAGGCCCGGCTCCCGCACTCCTCCGCAGGGCACGCCAAGGAGGCGCTGAGCCTGGCCCAGATGCAGGAGCAGACACTGCAGCTGGAGCAGCAGTCCAAGCTCAAGGTGAGTGGTGGGCTGGTGCTGCCAGGCCGGCCGTGGCCGAAGGGAGAGGAGGTGCCCAGGAGAGGGGTGAGCTCCCGCAGCAGGACCTGTGCCCAGACCTGTCCACTCCGAGCACACGGGGTCCAGCAGGGGGGAAGGGGGGTGGGAGGGGCTTGTCAGGAGTGGGAGCCTCAGCGCTGTGTGTCCGCAGGAGTACGAAGCCGCCGTGGAGCAGCTGAAGAGCGAGCAGATCCGCGTGCAGGCTGAGGAGCGCAGGAAGACGCTGAGCGAGGAGACGCGGCAGCACCAGGCCGTAAGGGCTGCAGGGCCACCCAGGCACCTGGAGGCCTGGGGACCGGGAGGGGGCTGTGGGGCGCCATGGTCCCACATGCGGTCTGGGTCTCTTGTTGACCCTTGAGGACCTGGGGTGGCCTTGCACAGCCCCTAAAGCCCGCGGACCCCTCCGTACTGAGTGTCCGCGCACGTGTCCTTGCAGACAGCCTGCGTGGGGCTCGTGGCTTCTTGGGGCTCCGGTGCTCAGTCGGGTCTGGGGCCACAGGTTGGTTGCAGGTCTCCCCCCAGCTTCCCCAGCTGCGCTGTGTTCACACTGCTCTCTCCCTCCCCAGAGGGCCCAGTACCAGGACAAGCTGGCCCGGCAGCGCTACGACGACCAGCTGAGGCAGCAGGTGAGTCGGCGCCCTGCAGGCGGGAGAGCCTGGTCCTGCTGGTGGGGGACCGAGGCCAGGGCTGTGGACGTGAGGGTTGTGCTGGTTCTGGGGGAGCTGTAGTTGGACTCCCGCACGTGCACACCCATGCCCCGTGGCTCCTGCCACACTGTGCCCCACGGCCTCCACACGCTCTGCAGCCTCCATGCGGCGTTCCGTGGCCTCCACGGCAGAGGCAGGCTCCAGCTGCTCTTAGGTTTCAACCAGGTGGCACGTGACTGGGAACCTGGCTGAAGTGACAGGTTCATGAGGGGCAGTTTCAAATGTTTGTGCCTCTTGTGAGCATTATAGCTTTAAATTTTTAAAATATATATATTTTTTATTGATTTCAGAGAGAGAGAAACATCAACAATGAGAATCATTGATCCGCTGCCTCCGAGCCTGCAATCCACCCGGGCATGTGCCCTGACCGGGAATCGAACCATGACCTCCTGGTTCCTAGGTCACTGCTCAGGCACTGAGCCATGCCAGCTGGGCTATAGCTTTTAAATTTAATGAGCAGAACCCAGAGTGTTTTATGGACACCCGTGACCCCGTGGCCAAGCTGTGCCAGGGGTGGGGGCTCCTGGCCCTGGCCCCTGGGCACCTGCATGTCCAGCCATGTTCAGGCCTGCCTGCCCGGGCTGTGGATGGTGCAGCCCCAGGAGGTCAGCCCCTGGGCGCGTGCGTGTCCTGATGTTGAAAGCTTTTCCTTTTTCTTGTGGCTTCTCAGCAACTTCTCAACGAGGAGAATCTACGGAAGCAGGAGGAGTCGGTGCAGAAGCAGGAGGCCATGAGGCGAGGTAGAGTGGTCAGCTCGCCGGGCGGTGGGGCCCGAGAATGGCTCGTGGGCAGGCGGGGGGTCGGCGCTGCTTGAGGCACTTGGAGCCCCAGTGGGGCTTCCTGAGACCGCGGGGGTCTCTGCTTGAGCCGGCTTTAAAGTGGAAACTTCACCCAGGCTGGGCATCCAGGTTGGTCTTCTCTGCCCGGCACCCAGGGCCTCACATGACTTACTCCTGTGAGAAGTGTCTGGGCCTCAGGTCTGCATCCCGGGCTCCTCTGTCGAGGACCTGCCCGCCGGAGGGCCGGGACCCCAGGCCTGGGGCTGAGTGCGCTCCCTGCCTCCCGTGCAGCCACCGTGGAGCGGGAGATGGAGCTGCGGCACAAGAACGAGATGCTGCGGGTGGAGGCCGAGGCTCGGGCGCGGGCCAAGGCCGAGCGTGAGAACGCGGACATCATCCGGGAGCAGATCCGCCTGCGGGCCGCCGAGCGCCGCCAGACCATCCTGGAGTCCATCAGGTGAGGCCGCCCTGGTCCCGGGCAGCCTGTGCTCGCACGCTGACGGGAGACTGCCTGTCAGGCCCTTGCTCTCTCTCTGGCCACGTGCACGGGCCTGTCCCTCCTGCTCACACCAGTGCCTCCCCGACAGGACGGCTGGCACCCTGTTTGGCGAAGGATTCCGGGGCTTTGTGACCGACTGGGACAAGGTGACCGCCACGGTAAGCACCACTGCCACTGTGGGGCCTGGGCACCTTGCTGGGCCCCGGGCCTGCCCTGCAAGGTGGCGGCTGGTCCTCCCACTGCCCCCACCCAGCTCCTGGCACAGGGTGGCAAGGTGGTGAGGGCGTGGTGGCAATGGGGGGCATCACTTGCCTCCTTCCTGCCGCAGGTGGCTGGGCTGACGCTGCTGGCTGTCGGGATCTACTCCGCCAAGAACGCCACGCTGGTGGCCGGGCGGTACATCGAGGCGCGGCTGGGGAAGCCGTCCCTGGTGCGGGAGACCTCCCGAATCTCACTGCTAGAGGCGCTGCGGCACCCCCTGCAGGTAAGGGCTTGGCTGTCGGGGGACCAGTCCTCCTGGCGCTGTGTCCTGCCCATTCCTGGCCTGACAGCCAAGCTCCCGTGTCCTCCTCCCTCCATCTCCCCACGTACCTCCCCCTCCTGCATGCTGGATTTGCTCTAGGTTTGTCCTCGCTGTGTCCCTGGAGGTCTGTCGGCGCCGGCACAGGGGAGCGGGGGTCCTTGGGGTGGGGGAGCCTCATCCAGTCGGCTCAGTCCCCTGAGGTCGCCTCTGGGTGTTCACAGCAGCTGGGGCTCCCCTGTGCCCTTTTTCTGTAAGAGAAGTTGCTGGAAGTCATGGTGTTGCTGCCTCACCTCCATCCCCCCCACCCCTCCCCCGGAAGTGTTCTTCCCGTCCAGCGTGGATCCCGAGGCCTGTCCTCCCCGGGCTCTGATCTTTGTATCTGTCACGATGTGGGTGATGGAGAAAAGAGAGGTCAACAGCGACCTGTCCGTCACCCAGACCAGCAACACGGACAGCTGGTCAGTCAGCCTTCTGAGCGCTGGCCCGTGTCCTGAGCGTGGGCCCGCAGGGCTGTCCTTGTGGCTGTAGCGCTTGGTGGCTGCCCCAGGGCTGCATTCATGACCCTGACCCCGGCTCCCCTGCAGGTCAGCAGGCGGCTGCTCAGCAAGCCTCAGGACGCGCTGGAGGGAGTGGTCCTCAGTGTGAGTGGGCGGGGCTGGGCAGAGGCGGGTAGGGGGCACTGCCTGGCGAACCCGCCCTGGGATCAGCTGCCTCTTATGCTGCCTGGGTGCCTGGGAGGGACAGACTGACTGGGCAGGGAGCATCCCTCTAACCAGTTGCTTGTCCCCTGGTAGCCCAGCCTGGAGGCCCGAGTGCGGGACATCGCCATAGCGACGCGGAACACCAAGAAGAACCACAGCCTATACAGGAACGTGCTGATGTATGGGCCGCCCGGGACGGGCAAGACGCTGTTTGCCAAGGTGAGAGGCGGCCCATCCCCTAGTGGCGCCTGCCTGGGGCCTGGATGCCATGGGCAGGGGGCAGGGGGTGGACCTTGTCTGCTTTACAGGAAGGAAAAACTGCTTGCCCCGCCCACCCCAACCCCTATTTGCGCCTCCCCGTCCCCTGCCCCTGCTTTCCCCTCTTCCCGCCTCCGCACCCCACCCTCAGCCTCTACCGTCTCCCCAGAAACTGGCGCTGCACTCAGGCATGGACTACGCCATCATGACGGGCGGGGACGTGGCCCCCATGGGGCGGGACGGCGTGACTGCGGTGCACAAGGTCTTTGACTGGGCCAGCACCAGCCGGCGAGGGTGAGCGGCACCTCCTGGCGGCCTGGTTCCTAGCGGCCCCTGGCTGTCTGGGAAGGAAGGGGTCAGGGACTTCCTGCAGCCAGTCCTGCTGCCCTGGTGCCCAGGTGCCCAGGTAGTCCGGCAGCACCGTTCAGGGGACATTCGCCCCGTGCGACTCCCGGCGGCCGGGGCTCACAGGAGCCTCTTGGTGCCGGTGGGTGTTTAATTCAGGGCCAGGTTCTGGCCGCTTTCTCCTGGTGCTGGCACTTGGCACGCCCCGGGGCGAGGTCTGGGTCCCAAAGCTGCTGCGGGCGCGTGGGGTGGGGGCTCCTGAGCACCGGCCATCCCAGGGGCCACGCAATGGGAGGCCCCTCCCTCAGGCAGCCCCTCCCCCCACAGCCTCCTCCTGTTTGTGGACGAAGCAGATGCCTTCCTCAGGAAGCGAGCCACCGTGAGTGTTCTGGAAGCTTCTGGGTGGTGTATTCAGTGGCTTGGGCTACAGCTGTGCTTTCGGGAGGGTCGTGCCTGAGGGCGGCCAGGCCTGCTCCTCAGCTGAGCTTTGCTAAATATTGTTGGACAAGCGGAAGCATCCCTGGCGCTTCTTGGAATCTTCTTGATCAAGTTCAGGTCATAGGCGCCACCGGGAGGAGCAGACACTGCCTTCCACAGGCAGCTCCGCCCAGCTGCTCAGCCAGCCTGGGGCCTGACCCGGCTTCTCTCTGCAGGAGAAGATCAGCGAGGACCTCAGGGCAACCCTGAATGCCTTCCTGCACCGCACGGGCCAGCACAGCAGCAAGTGAGGCGCCTGCAGCTTGGGCTCCGCACAGAGCGCTTGCCGCATCAGCCCACCTGGTCCTCCGCGCCGCCCACTGGGGAGCCGGGCACGGCCTGTTCATGCTGCTGCAGGGCGGGGCAGGGGTAGGGCAGCGCTGCCGACCCAGTGCCCGCGGTGCCCACGTGTCTCCCGCTCTGGGACGTCCCGTGTCCCTTGTGCGGTGTGTCTAGGAAACACTGAGAAAATTTGCTGGGGTGTCTGGGCAGCGGCCCCACAGCTGGGTCCCCTGGGGCGCAGATGCCCCGAGAGTGGGCTGGCCCCTTTTCAGTCCCCTAGTCACACTCTTCTGCATCGGCGTGGCCCTCCTGCCCCGCCCCCCCAACTGGTCACACGGGGCGCCCAGCCCTGCTGGTGGGCATGTCCCTCACAGGCTGTGGCTGCGACCCCGGAGAGGTGGCTGTCCCTGTGAGCTGGCCTCGGCTCAGCCAAACCCTGGCCCTGAGCCCCGGCCTCCTGGTCGGAGGGCAGGGGGCTGTCTCAGACCTGGAGTCTGTCCCTCACAGCAAGGCTTATCCAGCCTCCCCCTGGGCCGTCGGCCAGAGATGCATGGGGTGGGGCAGGGGCAGATCTGCTGGAGGGAGGGTGGACTACAGGGGCCAGTGCTGGGTCTTAAAAAGCCCAGCCCGAATCTGCTAGCCGGGGGCAGGAGGTGGGCAGGATGGGCAGGTGGAGAGGGAGCAATGGGTCGATAGAAGTGGAATCTGCTAGAAAACCACTGGGAGGGTTGGCCTGCGCCCCAGCTGTGAGCACGCGGCTCTGGAGCCCTCAGCTCCTGCTTCTGTCGCTGCAGGTTCATGCTGGTCCTGGCCAGCAACCAGCCCGAGCAGTTCGACTGGGCCATCAATGACCGCATCGACGAGATGGTCAGCTTTGAGCTGCCGCAGCGGGAGGAGCGGGAGCGCCTGGTGAGGATGTATTTTGACAAGTATGTTCTTAAACCAGCCACAGAAGGAAAGCAGTAAGTGTCCTGGAGCCGCCGGTGCTCCCTGCCCTCTCGCTGGCGTCCTCCCAGCAGGGCCTTGGCCCCCAGACTGACCTCTGACCCCTAACGTGTGGCTTCACGAGGGGCTCAGGGCGGGTCATGTGCGACTTTGTCCCTCCCTGGAGGCCCTGCCACCCCCCTGTCCACCTGCCCTCTCCCGTCCACCTGCCCCCTCCCGTCCATCTGTCACTCCTTGTCCACATGCTGGGTCCCCATGTCCCTGTCCAGCTCTATGCCGGGTCTTGGAGTTGACAGCCCATCCTTTTCTGATACACAAAGTGCCTTAAGGAGGCAGATCCAGGCCGCAGTCAGGCCTGGGTGGTGAGGGCTGTGGTGGGCGGTTGCAGACCTAGAGCATCGCTCTGACACCTCCATCCACTGCACCCTGACTCCCAGGAGCCCGGGGCCCTTTGCCAGCATGCAGCAGGCCCGCCTCTGCAAAGCCCGTGTGGGGGTGGCGCCCTCCACACTGTCCAGGCCACGCTCACTCGCCGCGGTGCCTGGCGTGCTCCAGATAAGCAGAGCCCGGCTATTTTAACCGTCTCCAGGGGACGGGTCTCGGCAGCTCTGACCCGAATCCCTCCGTGCTGGCAGCAGGGAGAGCGGCCTCTGTTCCAGACGGACTGTGCCCACTGCCACCCTTGTGCCTGCCCCCCAGCTCCTCCTCCCTTTGCCCCCAGCATCCCGGCCGCATGGGTGGGTTTCTGAGGCTTTTGCCATGAGTGTCTGAGTGGTGCTCCTGGCCCTTCAGCCAGACCCGCCTGGGGAGGCTCGGTGCACGTGAGATGGCGGGAGCTTCACTCCGGTTGAGGCGTTGCTCCCTCCCTCTGATTTCTGCTGCTCTGCCGGTTCCCCAGTTCACCCTGACGCAGCTTCAGATGCTCTGCAGCCTGGGGCTGGGCAGGGCTGGCAGAGAAGGAAGGACATGGTCCCTGGCCCCAGGGGACAGTGGGGCCCCTCCTCGTTTCTCAGCACGGCACTGCCCCTGCAGCAAGCATGCCCCACTGTCCGCACCCCAGCCCCTGCCTGGACCCTCTCGGGCTCCAAGAGGAGAGGAAGTGCCACCAGGGCAGGAAGGCCAGCTGTGCCCTGCCCGGGGGTCCCTGCACAGCCTCCTGCCCCGAGTCCCGCCCTCCCTCGGGAGGGTCATGGGGCCCTCACAGGCCTCTGGTCCTGCTGGGAGTCGGGGCCCCGGGGTCATGTGGGACCCTCTTCGCAGGCGCTTGAAGCTGGCCCAGTTTGACTATGGGAAGAAGTGCTCCGAGATTGCACACCTGACCGAGGGCATGTCGGGCCGGGAGATCTCCCAGCTGGCTGTGGCCTGGCAGGTGAGTGGGCAGGCACCCCCTCCGCCTCTGAGGCATCCCAGCAGCCGCTCCCTGGGTGCCCCATCCTGTAGGCATCTGCTCCTTGGCTGCCCAGCAGGAAAACACCGGCTCTTGCATCTGACAGCCTGACCACCAGAAATTCAGAAATGCTTTTAAATGACTATTTTATTCACTAAGTACCTGTCTACTTCAGTTTGAAGTGTGGCTCAGATATGCAGGGGCTGCATTAGAATGAGCTGGGTTATGCTGCTGTAACAAATAGCCCCAGGTTGCAAACTTGTATCCTGTGGGCCAGTTGGCTCTGCTCTGGGCCTGTGACGGTGCCTGGAGGACAGATGTCTTAGCTCGGGATGCAGTAAGTGTGCTCATCACAGGAGTGGCAGGGGCAGCCCAGGCCGGGCACAGAGCAAGGTGAGCAAAAATGCCTGGTCAGGTGATGGGACTCGCTCTCGATGCCCCACATTGGCCGAGGCTGCTGGGGCAGCTGGACTGGCTCAGGACCCTGCTTGGTGGACACCCATTGCTGTCCACTCAGCAGGCTCAGTCAGAGCCACAGGCTGGTGACAGGAAGCAGGTAGGGTCCTGTGTCATCTGGGAGGGGGTGACCTGCTTGGCAGCTGAAGAGTGGACCACCCTGGGCCTGATTACCAAAACTTTGGTGACCCCACCCAGGTGCCTGCCCCCGTTTGGGGGGGGGAGCCCTGGGCACTGGGAGCAGAGTGGCCGGGCAGTGGCCTGGCTCTCAATGGTCCCTGTTTCTGGAAGGACTGTTTGCAGGTGGTGGGGGTCCTGTGGGGCAGGCCCCGTGGACCACAGTTGCTCAGTGTTCGGGGGCAGTTGGGCCTGGCGGGGCCACTCACCCCATCAGAATTGCTGGGGCTCCTGCCGCCCCTCCATGTCGAGAGGAACTATCCCCCGAATAGCCTGTGGTGGTTCTGTGGTCTGTGCCCTGGCAAAGGGCAGCTCTGCTGTCAGAAGCAAGGCCCTCAGTTCCGCAGGGAGGCTGGGCTGCTTCCCAAACTCGCCTGGGGCTGCCTAATTTTAGAAAGTCACTGAGAAACTCAGGGAGTGCGACCAGGCCGGGGCCAGGCGGGCGGCGCAGGGACGGCACCAAGTCCGGGCTGCAGATCACCTGTGAGCAGGCGTGAGTGGGCACGTGTGTGTGCTGGAGGCAAGGTGTGTGCCATCAGCGGGTAGGAGTGTGTGTTCTGCCCAGGGAGGATGTTGGCCAGCCATCCCCTGGCAAACTGCACCACGACTTGGATCCCACCTGCCCCCAGCCTGAAGGAGGACATCTCCGAGAAACAGGCTCATGGTGGGGAAGCAGCATGGAGGGTGGGCCGGCCAGGCTGTGTTGTTCGGGGCCTGGCCCTGGCCCTGCCTACAGGGTGATGGGCCTGGTGCCTGGGGGTCCCCATGCAGGCAGCTCTGGGCCCCTGCCCTGCCTCAGTGCTCTCTCTCCCTGCCAGGCCATGGCATATGCCTCCGAGGACGGGGTCCTCACCGAGGCCATGATGGACGCCAGGGTCCAGGACGCCATCCAGCAGCACCGGCAGAAGATGCAGTGGGTGAAGGCCGAGCGAGCCAGGCCCGAGGGCAGCCAGCCCCCGCCCCCGAGTGCACAGACGGAGTGAGCTGGGCCTGAACCCGGGGACCCCGGGCGCACTGGCTGGGCAGCACCAGGTGCCAGGTGTCCCGGAGTAGTGGGTGCTGCACAGCCCCGCGCCTCCCCAGGGTTTCCGTCTTCCTCTGGTCAGGCCAGGGCAGCATTCCAGCCTCTGCTGCGGACAGCTGCGGCTCTGGTGTCTGATGGGAACCTGCCCTCCACGCAGTGGTTGTGGCTGGAGAGCCTCAGGCTAGGGCCACGCCTGGGACGTGTGTCTCCAGCCAGGCCCAGAGCAGGGGGAAGGCAGGTCCCTGGCATCTGGCTGCTGAGGCTGTGACCTGCAGGGGGCGGAGCTGGACCTTGCGGGGCCCAACCAGACCAGAACCCGGCCAGGACTGAGCGGAGCAGACCCTGTGGTGCCCTGCACACCGCTTTGTGCCCTTGGGTACCTGGTGGATCTGCACCCGAGACCCCCGACCTGCTGGGGCGCTGCCCCGGCCCAGATGGCCTGCAGCCCTGCCTCTCCTGGAGCTGGGTGTTTCTGTCAGAATCTAATAAAAAACTGACAAGTACTTCGGTGCATCTCCTGGCTGGTGAGGGGCGGGGCTGGAGGGGTCACGTGAAAGAAGAGGCAGAGGCTGGAGCTTTCCGGAGAATTTACTGACCAGCAGGGGCGGGGGTCACAGTGAGGCGCCGACCAGGGATGCCCTGGGCAGGGTGGCCGCACTCGCCACAGCGGGGCTCAGGGGCCTTATTGCTGCTGGGCCGGGGCCTCCCACCCCTCGCTGGGGCCCGCGGACGCACACGCCCCATGCACATGCTCCCGTGTGCAGACGTGGGTGCGGCCGGGGTCCGACCCCCTTCCCAGCCCAGACCCTTTCCCGGCTTCCCCTCCGCCAGGACGGAGAGAAGACAGCCGGCTCGGATGTGGGTAACAGACGTGGTCCCTGGCCAGGCGCAGGGCGTGGGGCCCGCCCCCCAAGCGCCCACACCCTGCCTGGCCCTGGAGACCGGGGTCCTGCCCCCAGACCGGCCCCACCCCGACCCCTTTATAAAAAGAAGAGACAGCACCTTCCGCTGGACACACCCGGCGGCCGGGGCACCCTGGCTCAGGCGGCCGTCCAGTCCGGTGTTCGTGGGCACGGTGGCCAGCGGCCCCCAGAGTCCTGCGCGCGGCCTAAAGGTGCCGCGGGCTCGGGTGGCCGTTGTGGTAGAGTTTCTGCTTCACGTGCACCATGTTCCCGGCCGCCTCCTCGAAGGGCCTGTGCGGCCGTCGGCCCAACTCCCGCAGGTTGCACAGCTTGGGCAGCCAGGTCCACGAGCCATCTGCTGGGCGTGGTCAGCGTCCGGTCAGGGCGGGGCGGCCCGACGCGGGGGACGGGGCGTAACCAGGGAATGACTTTGGAGGGCGCTTGGCTTGAGCTCGGTCTGGGTGAGCATGGCCAGGGGCGTGGCTTTGGTTGTGGGCGTGGTCTAGGGGACTGTGGGCGGGGCTGTGATCCGAGGGGCGTGGTCTCCGAGGGCGGGGCGGTCCGGGCGCGAGGGCCCCAGCGTGGGGGCGTGGTCTGTGGGTGGGGATGCGTTGTGGGCGTGGCGGGGCGTGGTCTGGGTGAACTGGACGAGGCCAGGCGCTTGGGGGAGGAGCCTGGGGCGGGGCGGGCGGCACTCACCGTAGCGCCGGCCGGCCCTCCAGGCGCGCACGGCGCAGTGCAGGACGCCGTCCATCCACACCAGGAACCAGCTGATGCAGAAGCCGAGGAGCAGCCCCAGCATGAGGTCGATCTCCTGCTTGGTGACGTTGTCCGTCACGAAGTAGTTCTCGGAGGCGTCCACCACCGACTGGTCCCCGTCGTACGGGATCACGTAGTGGATGTGGTGCCTGGGGGCGGGGCGGCAGGGCGGGCTGGCACCTCTCCCGCGGGGCCGCCTGGGGCTGCCTGCTGGGGCCTCTGAAGCAGCCCTGGTGGGGTCTGAGGTCCGGAGGGCCCGCGGACCGCCCAGGGCCCCGGTCCCCAGGGGGAGGCTGCCCGTAGGGTGGGGGGTGCAAGACCAGTGGTCGTCAGCGTGAAGTCCAGTCCGGGGCGTCTGCCCACACTGCACCCCCCACCTCTGCCCGGCCTGGGCTGGTGGCTGACCCTGACGGGGTCACGGGCCAGTGCAGGTGGGCCAGTGGTTCCAGGGTGGAGGCCCAGGGCAGGTGTCCCGCTCTGAGGGCAGGTTCAGAGCCCACCTGCCGGACAGGTGCTGACCGCTCCTCTGGGACCGCCCCTCTGGCCTCTCCCTAAGGCGACACTCACTAGCCCTTTCGGCAGCTTCCATCCGGGCACAGCGAGTGGCCACCCCCTTCTCCGTCCTTGAGTCTCTGTCCAGAACCCCTCCCTTCCTCCCCTCTCCCGGGTGCACCCTGGCCTACGCCCTGCGTGGATCTGTAAGTCCTTGGGCCGCTCCGCTGCTCTCAATGGTCGATGGAACTGTCTGGGCTTCTCAGCCCGTGGCCCCTCCTCTGCATCCGGCACCCACCAGGGCCTGTGCATGGCTCTCGGCCTCCCCTGCCTCCACTGGCCAGACTCAGGCTCCTGAACCCCCCAGGCCCTCGCTTGCCCCCGAGGCCACATTACACGCTCCTCACACGTCTCATCAAGCCTCAGAGCTGCCTGGATACCGCCTCCTCCAGGGAGTCCTCTGGCCCCGTGACACCAGGTGCAGTGGCTCTGCCCAGGAGGGTGGACTCTGGGCTGGCCCCACCCTCACCCCCTCACTGTTAAGAGAGCCTAGGAGCCCTGGCCGGTTTGGCTCAGTGGATAGAGCGTCGGCCTGCGGACTCAGGGGTCCCAGGTTCGATTTTGGTCAAGGGCCTGTACCTTGGTTGTGGGCACATCCCCAGTAAGGAGTGTGCAGGAGGCAGCTGATCAATGTTTCTCTCTCATCGATGTTTAATCTCTTTCCCTCTCCCTTCCTCTCTAAAAAAAATCAATTAAAAAAAATCAATAAAAATGAGTGAACGCCTAGGAGCCAAGGCACAGTGGGGTCCATGCACCCTCAGCCCCCAGTCATCTTTGTCCCCGGCTCCTACAGACCCTCCTCTTGCCAGGCAGTGCAGGGGCCACCTGGGGTCCTCCTGCCCAGGGGGCCACCTCTCCAGGCCCACCCCTCTCCGAGTCCCTTTGTTGGCTTCGCCAACTCTCCATCCCCACCCCCCAGAGTCCCTGCCGCCCCATATGGCTGCTCTGAGCTCCAGCTGCCTGCCTGGCGTCTCCATGTGGGATCTACAGACACCTCAAACTCACACCTAAAAATAGCTCCTCCCTCCCAGAACCTGCTCCTCCCGGCGTCCCTCCAGTTAGATGCTGACACCTCCGCCTGGTCTTCCTGGAGACGGGTTCCTCCTTCCCCCACACTTTCCTATGCTCCCCACCCCCCAAAGAGACCGCTGACCTCAGGCCCTGCTGCACCAACACTGGCCACATGGGGTGCCTTCCTCCCCAGGTTCAGGGGAGTCCTGTCTCCTCACACCCTCTCCTGCTCCTCCTGGGGACCCCTGTGCACAGCAGCCCACAGGGCAGGGCCCCCATCCCCCCGCCCTCGGTCAGTCAGCAAGAACTGGCTGACACCTCGTAGCCATTGCTCATCTGATCAGTTTGTCAATAGCCATTAGGAATCATCAATGGGTGATGGAGCCCTAGCCGGCTTGGCTCAGCGGATAGAGCATCGGCCCGCGGACTGGAGGGTCTCAGGTTTGAGTCCGGTCAGGGCACCTACCTCCATTGCAGGCTCAATCCCCCGGCCTCAGTTGGGGCACGTGCAGGAGGCAACCAATCAATGTGTCTCTTTCACATTGATGTTTCTCTCTCTCTCTCTGTCTCTCCCCCTCCCTTCCACTCTCTAAAAATCAATGGAAAAAAATATCCTCAGGTGAGGATGAACAACAACAGAAAGTGATGGAAACGAATGATCACCACCTAGAATGTGCAGCAGCTTCCAGGCCCCTGAGAGGACGCCCCTCACGAGCCGTTAGCAGTCCCATCACCCAGGCACCCCAAGCCTCAGGGTGCTGATACTGAACATCACCACCCTCTTCTGCCTCCCCAGCCTCCTGGGCCTAGGACCTCTGGTGGGTCCTCAAAGGACAACTGCTTCTGACCCCTGGACACGCTGCTGGGCAGGGCAGGACTTGTCAAAGGCTGGGCCACCACAGGAGCCAGACATGCCCCTGGTGCTCTGCAAGGAGGAGGCCAGGCCCAACCACCTGGGAGGCTCAGGACCCCAGAGGCTGGAGGCACAGTCTGTGCCCCCATCACTGTCCTGGCACCAGCAACTCTCCCCCTGTGCTCTGCCCGCTCCTTCCTCCAATGCAGGCCCCTGGGGACAGGGCTCAGGTCTCCCATGTACACACGTATTTCTATGATGGGAACATACATGGGTCCTACCTGGACCATGCATGCTGCATGTGTTTACCTGAGGTCCAATGCATGTTGTGTATACACGCCGGCCACATGCACAGGACATGGCGTATATACCGTGGACTTGGCCCATGAGGTCCGCATGTGTGCATGTGTATGCTTGCCCAGGCACAAGCATGGTGCATGTCACATGGAGATGCACATGCATGTGGCTTTGCACAGAGCCACCTTCTCTGTGGGCGCCGGGGCACATGCATGGATGTGTGTGCACAGACACCACCTGCTGGCACGCACACTGGAGTATGAATGTACATACATGTCCTCTGCATAAAACTTCCCGCAAGGCATGTAGAAGGCATACACGTACGTGCACGCTTATTCTTGTATAGGGTGTGTACACACATGGGTAGAGTCCATTGTGGCAATGCGTGTACATGGCATATACACAAATACTCCATGTGCAAAACTATGCAGGCAGTCACTGGGCCCACATGGAGCACACTGGTCGCTGTATATTGTATCATATACATGTACTGGGCATACACATGTATGTTGTCAATAAACAAGTATATGTTGTACACCATGTCATGTATGTAGTGATGTGTACAAAGCACACACATGTGGACACAAGCATGCAGAAACATTCTTAAGTTCATAGGTGGCTTTCCACAGACACGCTAACCTGTGCACACAAGCCCAGCTGTGCATACCCCATGGACATCTGTTTACATGAGCCCACATGTACTCTGGACACTGCATATGAATCACACACACACCCTGTGCAAATAGACTCTGAAAGCACATCCTGTCCGGCCTCAGTGTGAGGTCACCGGCCCAGAGAGGCTGGTCACAATGCAGCAGCCCACACACATGTAAAATGTGTGTTACCCGTGTTGTGCACACCACAGTCCCAGGGGGGCTCCAGGTCACCCCAGTTCATACCACTCACAGCCCTGGCCGCCCCAGGCAGGAACTCAGGGGTCTCTGGGAGAGTGTGGCCACCAGGAAACCTCTGGGAGGTTCCTGGCCAGCACAGGTGAGGGCTGCTTGCACTGCTGTCTCCACCTGCTCCCAGGCCCAGTTCTGCTTCCACACACCGGTCGGCACCCACGGGCAGGGAGCATGCGGAGTGAGGCCTGAGGCCACCTGCCTCTCCCCAGGCCCACCACGTGTGCACACGTCGGGAGCAGGCGTCCAGGTCAGGAGTGAAGAGCACGGGTTCTGGGGTTCATGCCCCTATCTCTCGCTAGCTGCGTGACCCCCGTCCGCTTTCTCACTGACTCCAGCCCGAGGGTGTCCTGTGGGGTGAGGGTGTGCATGCGGACATGCGTGTGTGCTGCGTACCCACATGTATATGCACAGACGGTACACACACTCGCGTCTCATGAGATGTTTATTTCGTACATGGACGTACAGACATGCATGGCCCGGAGGGCGCCGTCATTACATGTGCACGGGATGCGGGTCACAGTGGGTGGTGTGGCCTGGGCTCTCCAAGCTGAGTGACCTTGAGTAAGCTCCACCCCTGCCTCAGTTCCTCCTCTGCACAGTGAGGGGGTGGGCCCGGCCCACCTTGAGCGGCAGCACCTCCCTGTACCTGGCTCCCAGGAAAGTTCATGGACACCGTGCAGGGTCCAGGGCAGAGGCTGGTGTGCTCCGTGGGCACAGCCCTGGGCAGGATCCCTCCCGGACACCAGGCTGGGCTGCTGCTTCCTTGGCCTCCGGGCCCTGGACCAGGAGGCCTGGGGCCTGTTCTGCCCATCACCCTCTCTGTGAAGGCGTTTTGGGAGGGGGTTCTAACTGACCCAGGCACGCAACCCCCTCCAGAACTCCACTGGCCAACCTCCAGGTGCCTGCAGGCGGCTGGACAGCCCTTCCCCCGCTGGACCTGGTGCCGGATTCAGCGGCCCCATGGGCCTAGCGCGGCCCTTCGCAGGCCTGTTCGGGCTCCCGCACGCCAGTGGGCCCTGAGTCCCATACATGTGAGATCACGCGTGAGCCCCGCCGGGCACAGACTCACCGGCCACAGTTGCAGTGGCAGACGCGGTCCTCGCCCCGCAGGTGCGGGAGGATGTAGTTGTGGAATCGGTCCAGCAGCGCGTTCATGTCCATCAAGCACGCGATGGCCTGGAAGAGCCCATGACCGGTCAGACCCAGGAGCAGCCGGCCGGTGTCCGGGTGGGGGTGGGGCGCTGGGGACCGGGGAGCGCAGGCCGGGGATGGGGGTGCTGAGAGCAGCCCAGGATGGGGAGCAGGCTGGGCAGGGGGAGCGCAGGCTGGGGATGGGGGTGCTGAGGGCAGCCCAGGATGGGGAGCAGGCTGGGCAGGGGGAGCGCAGGCCGCGCGGCCGGTAAACAAGGCGCGGGAGGGGGAGGCGGCCGGCGGCGCGCGGGCGCGGGAGGCAGGCGCGGGTGGGGGAGCGGGCGCGCGGGAAGCCCCTCCGCTCACCATCACGATCGACGCCCCCAGAATCATGAAGATCATGGTGTTCGCGCTCATGGACATCGGGCGGGGCCGGGCCGGGCCGGAGCGCCGCCCCCCGGCCCCGGCGCCCCCCCGGCCCCGGCCCGATGCTGAGCCCCCGGCGCCTCCGCAGAGGTCAGCGCGCCGCGCACCCACCGCCGTGGGCCGGGTAAGAGGCGCGCGTCCGGAGCGCGGGGCAGGGGACTCGGTTGCTTCGGGGTCGTCCAGCCGCCGGGCCACCGTGCTTGCTGCGCTCCGCTCCGCCCTCGGCCCTGCCTCCCTCCCGTCCTCGCTCCGCGCGCTTCGGCCCCCTCTCCCTGCGCGCCCGCCTCCGGGAGGGACCACGCGGCCGCCCCGCCCCGCCCCCTACCCCTCCCTGGGGCATCTGGTCAGTACGGGGCCCTGGTCGCCTGCCCAGCAGCTCTGGAGCCCAGCGCACGTCCCGACCCCAGTGGCGATCCAGGGCCCCGGGCGCAGCTCCCTCCCCATTTGTCAGGGGAAGTATCTGAGCAGCCCAGGCGCCCAGCCCTCCGTGGGGAGGCCGGCAGGGTCGCTGGGGAGCTGCCGGGATGTCACTCCAAAGCCTTGGCCACAGGGCCCAGGACAGCTGAGCAAAAGCCTGAGAATGCCCCCCTCCCCCGGCTGGGGCAGCGCCAGCCTCGGCCTGGCTTCCCGAGGGTCAGTCTCCGGCACCGGACTGGGCAGCCTGGGAGCTCCCTGATGCTGGGGCCTGGGGAGGCTTCCGAGTCCACCCTCCCCCACAGCCCAGGACACGTGGCTGCACTGCCTGCACCACCCCACCCCCCGCAGGACCCAGCTTTTCCTCTGCATGAACCAGGAGGGTCACTGGGAAGCCGGGCTACTTGGGGGGGGGGGGGGGTGTCAATGGTGGGGGGCAGGTGCCGTAGGGAGTAGGGCCCCATTCTGCCAGCAGCCCCCGTGGCCGCAGAAACCCTTGGGTGCCGGGAAGCCGGGCCCTGGACTGTAGCCACAGAGCCCAGCAGAGAACCCCTAAGTGACCATCGGGGGGCATGTCGGGCACCCAGCTCTGCCTCCTCCAGAGGGACCTGTGCGGGGCCAGAGAGACGGGCCAAGCTCAGGACAAAGCAGAGGCGGCAGCAGCTGCTCACTGGACACCTGCAGGCTCTCTCCCAGGTGTCTGACCGCCCAGCCAGGTCAGGGAGGGAACACAGAATGGCAGGCAGACATGGCTTTGCTTAAAGAAAAACACTTTAATTTCACACTAGTAACGAGGGTGGGACACCGAACTTGACAGCTGTGGGGCCAAACTATGTACAGCGCAGGGGCCATCCCTGGGCAGCAGCCCTCGGGGTCAGAACGGGTGGGAAGGAACGAGTATTAACAACAGGCAGCGCAGAGGCCGTCGGGCGGGTGGCGCCGGCTCAGTAGAAGCAGACGGTGTGCAGGAAGGTGCGGCCACTCTTCTCCTCGAACTCCTGCAGCAGCTCCTCGATCTCGTTCTCCATGTCCTCCGTGTGCTGGATCTACGGGCAGAGAGGCGTCTGAGCGGGAGGAGGGGAGTGGGGTGAGGGTCCGAGGCCCCAGCAGCCCCGCAGGTGCTGACCGTGCTTCCCACTCCTCATGCCGGGTGGCCCCAGGCCCTCCCCTGGGAGCGCGCAAAGGGAAGGGGCTGGGCTCTGAAACCAGGGCCTGCTGTCCAGTGTGTCCAGTGTTGCATGGAGCCCGGCCGGCTGGCTCAGCGGTTGAGCGTCGCCCTATGAACCAGGAGCTCAGGGTTCAATTCCCGGTCAGGGCACATGTCCGGGCTGGGGGCTTGATCCCCAGTGTGGGGTGTGCAGGAAGCAGCCAATCAACGGTTCTCTCTCATCATTGATGTTTCTCTCTCTCCCTCTTCCTTCCTCTCTGAATCAATAAAAAATATATTTAAAAAATGGAAAAAAAGTCACATGGATTGCAGCTACGGACCCTCACTCAACGGACACCGGGCACAGAAGGGCAGTCCCTTTCCCCCGAGTGGGGGCGCACCGTCCCATGCAGGGTGCGTGGCAGCATCTGTGGCCTCTCCCCACCGGCTGCCACCAACGTCCCTCCCAGTTGTGAGACCACAAGTGTGCAAACACGGTCAGGCGCCCCGGTGGACAACCACTGCCCTGAAAAGCGTAGGTGCTGCCAGGGGTCAGCCTGGGTGGCCAGCTGGACTGCAGCCAAGGCCTCTGAAGAGCGCCCCCCCCCCCAATAATTCAGCTTCAGCCGGGGTGACCCCAGCCACACGTGTAACCTCGGGGACATGTCTTCCCCCTGCAGCCTTTTCTCGTGCGTGACGGCCGGATCATGGGCACAATTGCTGGAGCTTCAGCAGCCACACTGGACCATGAGGCACACTGGGAATGGAAGCTGTGCTGGGTCCCTCAGAGCAAACCAGCAGGGCCCACCTATCTCTAGACTTCTTGGTTAAACTTTAAAAAAAAAATACTAACCCAAGGATGTTTTTCCCATTGATTTTTGTGTTAAAAAAATATATTTTTATTTTATTTCATAGAGGAAGGGAGAAGGAGAGATACATCAACGATGAGAGAGAACCATTGATCAGCTGCCTCCTGCATGTCCCCCTATTGGGGATCAAGCCTGCAACCTGAGCACATGCCCTTGCCTGGAATCGAACCTGGGACCCTTCAGTCCGCGGGCTGACACTCTATCCACTGAGCCATACCAGCCTGGTTCCAATGATTTATAGATACAGTGGAAGGGAGGGGAGGAGGGGCAAGAGAAAAAGAGAGGAACCATTGACGTGAGACACTCTGATGGGCCGCCTCCCACAGCTGGGGATCAAACCTGGGACCCCTGGGGCGCAGACCGATGCTCCTGCCATGTGTTTCTTCCTGTTTCTGTCACTCACGCCAGCTCACCGAGACCCAGGCACCAGGGGCAGAGCCAGGGCTGTGGGCTCCTCCGTGCTCGGTGCTTTTGTCACGCGTAAGAGAAACACTTTGCTCTGAGCACAGCTGCGGAGGCTGCACAAGCCCTGGCTTTCCACACAAGGGAGGTAGGTGCCCAGGGCCACAGGGGCCGGCTGCCGGAAGGACGAGTGAAGGGGTGTAGAGCCAGCCCCTGGGGCCCTTTGACACCTTGACACACGGCAGCTTCATGGCAGCGAGACCCCCGCAACCACTGCCTTCTGTCAGCTTCACACGCAGGCGAACTGCCCAGAGCCAGCTATGGACTCTCACACCGTGGGCTCCCTCAGGTGCAGGGCCTGGGTCTGGACCCTGAGCACCGCCGCCCGTCCCCAGGTGCCGGCGCAGCCAGAGCAGGCCAGGCGGGCGGATACTCACGCACTGGCACAGCTCGCAGATGAGGAAGGCCCCCAGCGTGGCCTCCTCGTGGTTGTCCTGGATGTCCACGTTGATCACGTGCACTGGCTGGCAGGTCTCCTGCTCCCTGGAATTCAGATCTAAGGGGACAGAAACGGCACGACGTCACCTGCCCTGGCCGAGCACCAAACCTCCTCCTCAAAATGCTGTGATCCAGTGAACACCAGGCCCCACCTCACCCCTCGCCTGTCCTGGGAGAAGCACTCAGCAGGCTCTGCCCTGAACATGACGGGCCAAAGCCCCTTGCCAGGCCCTCCCGGCCGGCTGTGGGCCCCCTGGGGCCGGGGAGAGGGGGAGGATGAGGGACGAATGGCACAAGCAGGCACAGGGCCGGGGCTCACCTTCCACCACCTGGTCGTACACCCTCTCCTCGCAGGTGAGGATCAGGTCGAACAGGTCTCTGCAGTTCTGGAACCGCTCTGGCCGGGGCTTGATCCGCTTGTTCCTGTCCAACATGTGCAAGATGCCGTTCTGCGTGTAGCTGGGCACGGGGTTAAGGAACTTTATTTACTTTATTTTTTGGTTAATCCTCACCAAATGATCTTTTCCCATTGATTTTTAGAGAGTGGAAGGGTAGGGGAGAAACAGAGAGAGAGAGAGACGTCCAGGTGGGAGGCTGGGTCCTGGGATCGAGTCTGCAACAAAAGCACGTGCCCTTCAGTCCAAGGGCCAACGTTCCATCCACGGAGCCCCGCCAGCCAGGACTTCAGGGGAGACGTCATGAACTCAGCTGCGCGGTGTCTGCACAGGCAGAGCTGCCAGGCTCCACGGGCAGGAGCGCCCAGGCCTTGCAGAGGACAAGGCAAACGGCGGCCCTGTCCTGATGGGCGTCAGGACCTGCCCACCTCAGCCGGCCAGGCCACAGCTTCCAGACCAACAGGTTCCAGAAGTGGAGACCTGAGGCAGCCACCTCCAGCCACCGTTCTCGCCGACCCACCAGCTGCCCGACTCGCCCCGCAGCAGCTTTGCTCACGCCGACCCAACCGTCAGCAAGGACACGGCTGACCGTAAAGCCACCCAGCCTGGCTCAGCAACAGCCATGCAATCCCAGAAACCGGGCAGCAAAAAGGGAAGGTGCCGGGATCACTACAGACAGAGTGAAAGGGGCCCCCCCACATGAGGTCCACGCCAAGCAGGTGACCCCTGAGCTGGAGGCCCTCCTTGGGGGTCCTCCAGACAGGGTCACACCCTCACCCAACACAGTGACCGTGTGTTCTTGGGGCCCCAGGGAGAGGGTGTGGCCTGTAAGGGTCATTCCGGACCACTGGAAAGATGCATCTCGTTAACTCCATTTTAGAGGTACAGACTGGCTGATGCGGGAATTCTGAGTGACACATTCAATGTCTCCCAGACAATTTATTTAAATCAGCTCAGATTACTCACAATACATTTCCTCCCTTCCTTTCATAATGTATTTAAGTGGTTTATCGAACAGTTTTAACTTAAAACGACGCTAGACTGTTAGCCATGGTGTTCTGGCTCCTGACACTTTCCAGCTAAGTTAGTGAAGCCAGCGACCTGCAGCTTTGCCACCCAGCCCCACCCCACGGGCTCGGCACGAGGCTGAGGTTCAGCCTGTGGTCAGCCCCTCCCCTGCCCCCCTGCCACCCAACCAGCCCGGCCCTCGGGAAAGGACCACCAGCGCTCAGGTCTGGGTGATGTCACAGGAGGGTGAGGCTCGTTGGCGAACCAGACCCCGGCCCATATTGGCGGGACAGGGAAGTAAAACAGTGGCCTTTCGGGACTATTTTCTGGCAAATTCCAAGGATGTATGGCCTGCGCAGAGCCAAGCAGGACCAAGGGCAGGAGGTGCCCGCGCCAGCCCTTGAGCAGGAAACCACAACCCACCTGCCTTCATTCCCAGAGACCCAGAGCCTCTCGAACCCCCACTTCAGGCCACAAGGGGCAGGAGGGGGATGGGGATGAACTGAGCCTGCCACCTGGACGAAGCCCCAATCAGAGCAAAGCTGGGGCCAGAGGGAGGGGCTGTGAGGGGCGAGCTGCTGGGAGCAGCAGACCCCAGGCCCTTTGTCAGAGGGAAAAGCGTCCACAGCCCAGGAGGCCTCCTGCTGAGCAGGGCTCCGTGTGCAGCGCGTGCCCCTCACGCAGCCCCGAACCCAAGGGCACACCTGGGAGCAGCAGGCACAGGGGGCCGGAGGCCCAGAGCGGCACTGGGAAGCAGGAGGACAGGGCTGACCCCCTCCCTGAGCGAGTGAGCACCCCCCCCCCCCCCCCCAGCACAGGTGCCCCTGTGGCCGGCGGGCAGGACGGGCCTGGCTGGGCCTCCCCTGCAGTGACTCCGTGTGAAACAGGAGCTGCGGTTCCAGAGCTCAGCCTGGGGGACACCTCGGCGGCTTCCTTCCCAGGCCCAGGAGAGAGGACAGAGCAGGTGGGCCCTGGCTCTGAGGGACACCTGCTGAGGGCACGGAGCGGGCAGGAGCACCTGCACCCAGGCCCTGAGGGCCCTTCTGCTTCTCCGTGGCCATCCCTGGAAGCTGCTGGTGCTCACGGTGCAGGGCTCCCAGCTGCGTGGGAGCAGGAGGGCGTGGGCAGCGGGAGCTGGGGGTCAGGCCAGAGACCCCTGTGGGCGCTCGGCTCAAAGCAGAGAGAGCAAGGGAATGTGCCGCAGGAACCCGAGAAAGACCAGGCCGTAGCAGCAGGGCTCCCCCCCTGCCCTCACCGAGGCCCTGATGATGGGCAGGGGCCTGCCATGCCCCCCTGCCCCGCTCCCCAAGTCCCAGTCCTGGGTGGACAGAGCACTTCCCAAGGGCAGGAAGGGAGCACAGTGGGGAGCATGACAAGCGGGTAGGAAGACTCCCTCCAACCTCAGGAAGGGGCAGGGAGGCCGGGGCAGGGACAGCCCTGACCCCAAGCCAGGCAGCACCCCTGGACAGGGCAGGAGTGCAGCCCCCCACGCTCCCTCCTAACCACCAGGGCCCAGAACCTTCACCCCCCCCCCCCCCCCGGTGGGGTCATCTGCTCAAGTCCAGGCTGGACGGGTTGTGGTCGTGGTCGTGCTCTGCTGACAGGATGCTCAGAGCTGCTTCACAGAGGCTTGCTCAGAGCCCAGGACGCCCTGGCCGACACCGACTTCTCTCCGCCCCCAGATGCTGCCACACCCAGCTCAGGGGTCCCCACTTTGTACCTCAGCCTGGGAGGTGACCCCAAATCCTCTGTGGCTGACACTCCCTAAGGGTGGGCCATGTCAGGGAGCCAGCTCTGCACTGGGACCCTGTCACCCAATTTAACTTCTAATCTTAAACTTGATCAAACAAATGTCAGGCACAAACTCTCAAGTGGGGCCCAAGTTTCCTGGGGGGGGGGGGTCCTCAAAGGCACTGTGGCTCAGAAGTGCCCACGGGAACACCCTCCCCAGGGCTCAGGCAGGGCCCTGGGACCACCAAGGCGGTCACAGCAGGTCCAGCTGCACTGGGCTGGGGTGACACTGCAGACTAAGCTGTGCCTGCCCAGCTCAGGCACACTCTCCCTGGAATGGGTCCAGCGCCCGCCCCCCCCCTGCCCCCCCTTGTTTCGAGGGCAGGAGGGCCCTGTGCCACGGGGAAGCCCAGGGCCATGTCCCAATTCCACAGCCACCAGGAGGAGCAGCCCCAGCCAGGAGGTCCGACTCCTGGCCAGTGACCCCTTCTCTGGTGTCTCCACATCCCCTCTGACCCCTGCCTGGTGGGTGTGCCCGTCCAGGGACCCCTCCCCTGCAGCTGGAGCTACTTGGGCACCCAGGGGACAGGCGGTTCCTCAGCAGGGAAGCTGCCCAGCCCATCTCGGGAACAGCTCACTTAGATTTTATGATGCAGTGGCAACATGTCTGCCTTTACCTGTGACCAGCCCCAACTGAATGGGGCAGTGGCCCAACGAGCTCTGGACTTGAGGGCCAGGTGGGCTGGCACCCCTGGTTGCTCAGCCTGGCATCTCCCTCAGGACCCCTCTTTGAACCCCCTCAGAAAGTTTTCCCTGCCATGGGAGGAGGGCCGCACCCCTGAAATCCCATACCCATCCTCCAACGCCAGTTAGAGCCACGGCCATGGCCACCTGGAGCTCAGATGCAGCACAGGCTTAAGGGGCCACATGTGGGAACCATTGCAAAGCACACCCAGTAGGACCAGGGTGAGGAGTGGCTGCCACCCTCTCCTTTCCAATCCTCCCACGACCCAGAGAAGCAACCCACCCTCTCCCATCGCGGATACAGGTGACATCCCCAAGGCCTGTTGCATCCTACATTTTCCTGGCAAAGCGTGGAGTCAGCACGGATACAAGACGTTTCCCATGACCACAGGCCAGGCCCAGCGGCTGCTGGCCAGGTAGGTGCATCCTGGAGCCCATCCCCCACTGGAGGGCCGGCACCAGGGCAGGAGCCTGTGGGGAGCCCTTGGCACATGGGGGAGAGAGAGGAAGAACGGCCAAGAGCAGCTTTAAGCTGGAGAACCTCCCAAAGGGCTGTGGGGCCAGCTGGGAGCCTCAAACCACACTCAGAACCGCTCAACAAAAGCTTTCGAGCAGCACTTTTTATATTAATAAATTCAAACTCATTTCCTAATCAAAGCAATTTCTGCAAAGCATGTAGGCTGCACAAGTGAGAGCGTGGGAACCCCAGTCCACTCGAAGAGGCGCTGCCCTGATGCCCTGAGACGAGGGCGGCCAGCTCTGCCGGGTCTGCAATGGCCCCACCCCCTGGCTTTAGGTCAGGTGACCCACTTTCAACACACCTGGTGTGTGTGTGTGTTGGGGGGAGACCAGGTCCACCCCTTAGGCCCGGGCGAGTATGCACAGTGAGCATGGCCAGGGCACCGCAGATGTCCAGACCCCCAAGTGACCCTTGGCTTCACCTCATTCACCCCAGCCTTTGGCTCTGCTCAGCTTGTTAAATAAACAAACATCATTTAAAAAAACAATGTAAACACAGAGCTGCCGACCAGGGTGAAACGCGACAGGGAGAGCCCAATGCTGCCCGTGCAGGCGCCAGACGCCAGCACAGTGAGCCCGGCCTGGAGGGCGGACCAGGCAGCTGTTCCCACCCACCAAGCACAGCACGAGAAAGCAGGCCAGCTGGGAACACGTCTGACGAGACCCGAAGAAGTTTCTGGAGCAGCCCAGTGGCTGCAGCTACAGTGATGGTGCGGGGGCCTCAGAGAGGACGGGCCCCTCTCGAGCGCTGTGCCCACTAACCGCACACCCAGCACGGAGGTCAGGAGGCTGTGGGATATACAGTGCGAAAAATCATTTTTATTTTTAGCTTTTACCCCCCGATAAGAAAGAAGTACACAGTGAAGTGGTGGGTACACACACAAGTTAAGCCAGGGCCTAAACGACAATGAGACTGAGATGGAGAAGCATAAAGTGACTATGACGGGAGATCGGGAGGCAGAGGTGCTGGACACAGGCTCCTGCGCCATCTACACGCACGTGGACAGGCTCCGGGAAGGGGTTACATTAGAATTTCAAATCCATGTTTAGGGACAACTGGTCACGTGTTCAAAGCCCACTAACATGTTTAGAGGCAGGCTTTCACTTGCTTTTTAAGGCAAGTGGGTTTGTAATTTACAAAGCCGCTATCCACCGAAAGGTTTCAAACAGCCCAGAGCCTCCTGACAGACCAGCCCCTCCTCCCGGGCCCGCGGCGTCCGCGCAGCTCCAGGCTGGCCATTCCACACTAGAAGCAGGCGACCGTCTTTCCACCAAAGGCTCCCCAAGGACGCTCCTGGCTCAGCCGGGCTCCTCAGCAGGAGCTGGGGCTCTTGGGAGGAAGCTCAAGTGTGGAAAATGACCCCCCGGAGCTACACGAGTGCCCACAGGAAACACTACGTTTAAGCCACTCTGTATTCATGTGAACTCGTGGCAAAGGGAAGAAAATTTAAGGTCAAGGGGGAAAATGTGCACTTAAAAACCAACAGTTGGAGGCCAAAGATGTCATCAAGCAATACTTCAAATGCAAGAAATGGAACAAACTTGGCATTTGTTTCTCAAAAAGAAAAAAGACCGTCCGATGCACACTACAACATGGACAACCTCAAACCCCGCTGGTGTGAGCAGCGGCCAGGAGACCATGCGTCATGTCTCCAGCTGTAGACCGCCAGAAGAGGGGCACCCACTGAGAGGGTGGGCAGTGCAGGGCTGGGAGAGCTGGGACGGAAACAATGTCCTGGAAGCTGCCAAGACGGCGGCACAGCCCTGGGAGACGCACGGAAGCCACGGGCTGCCCTTTGGATGGACAAACTGCACACACCACAGACCACCCTTTTCGAGTTCCCTCGTTAACGCAACTCAGAGGAGATTTCGTCTGGAGGGTCAGGTGAACTCGGGTTTCCTGAACTATTAGTAAACAATCCCCAAAAGGAGAATGGTAACGAAACTGTGACTAACCTAATTCCTGCTCCTGCTGGTGGAGAAAACCACACCAGCTATTTAATCAAGTCCTTTGCTCCTAATGGGACAACTGGCCAAACCTTACTGAGGCCAGTCCTTGCGAATACCATGACGCCAGTGCACGCAGGGACCTGAGGCCTGGCTGCACTGGGCAGATGCAGGCCGCCTCCAGAACCTGTCACTCTCTCCATGGAAAAGTCATTTGCCAGCCCTGGCCGGCGTGTCTCAGTGGTTGAGAGCATCAGCCTGCACACCGAAGTGTCTCAATTCCCGGTCAAGGGCATGTACCTGGACTACAGATTCCATCCCCGGCTCCGGTCAGGGTGGGTGTGGGAGGCAACCAATCAATGCGTCTCTTTCTCTCCCCCTCACTCTCTCTAAAAATCAATGGGAAAAATATCCTTGGGTGAGGATCAACAACAAAGAAAATTCATTTGCCCCATGTTACAGCTTAAAACAGCAGTTCTCAACCTGTGGGTCACGACCCCTTTGGGGGTCGAACAACTTTTCACAGGGGTCGCCTAAGACCATCAGAAAACACACACATAATTACATATTGTTTTTGTGATTAATCACTATGCTTTAATTATGTTCAATGTGTAACAATGAAGTTGGGGGTCACCACAACATGAGCAACTGTATTAAAGGGTCATGGCATTAGGAAGGTTGAGAACCACTGTCTTAAAATATTTTTCTAGCTTTCTACTGGTTACTAGAGGCCCGGTGCACAAAATTCATGCATGGGTGTGTGTCCGTCCCTCAGCCCAGCCTGCACCCTCTCCAATCTGGGACCCCTCTCATAATCCAGGACTACTGGCTCCCATCCGCTCGCCTGCCTGCCTGCCCTCTAACCACTCCCCTGCTGGTCCGGTCCCTCCCAACTGCCCTCCCCTGCTGGCCTGGTCCCCACACAAGTGCCTTCCTCTGCTGGCCTGGTCCCCCCCCCCAACTGCCCTCCTCTGCTGGCCCGGTCCCCTCCCCAAGTGCCCTCCCCTGCTGGCCTGGTGCCCCACAAGTGCCCTCCTCTGCTGGCCTGGTCCCCCCCAAGTGCTCTCCCCTGCAGGCCATCTTGTGTCCACATGGGGGCGGCCATCTTGTGTGTTGGAGTGATGGTCAATTTGCATATTCTGCTTTATTATATACGATAACCGCCACTTCTGCAAACACCAACCAGGCATCCTGTCCCAGGCACGGGGCTTAGCTCTTAGCTGCACAAATCAGGAGCAAATGAGTAAGCAAGCAAATCGCTAGCCCCTGAGCTGGATGCTGGTTCCATCACTCATCAAGGATCCCCTTGCGTACGTACTGCCAGGGCGACCCACTGATGCCCCTCCCCTCCCTCACTCTGGGCGTCTGCAGTGTTTAGTGACCCCTGGAGCAGATACTCTCCATTACTGGGCAAGGGCTGCACTTGGGTCACTCTAAGCACCAAGCACAAGGTTGTTCTGCCCCTCCCCCACCCTCCAGGAGACAGAACTTCCACCCACGGGAAGTCAATCAAGCAATGAAGGTGTCCTGTCCCCGCCACATGCCCAGCTTTGTGGGGCAATCAAGAGGGGAGGGGCTTTCCTACACAGGGTGGGTCGCCAGGAGACAAGTACTGTTGGTGACAGTGGGCACAGCACCCCCCCACCCCCCGTTTCCTGACATGGCAGAGGCACGCACGGGGCGGGCTTGCACACGCGCGCGCGTGCGCAGTTGTCTTTGGAACAGATGCTTCAGGGGGGACACCGACTTCTGAAAAGTGGGTTCTGCTCCTGTTGAACTATCAGGGACATGCACATCACCCTCCTGCTCAGAGTCCCTCTGGATTTCGTCTTTTAAAAATGTGTCAGCTGCCGGCCGCTGTGAAAGGGCCTCTGTGAGCACTGAGGGAGTGTGCAAGCACACCACCCCGTTCTCGCTGCTCCTGTGGGTGTGAGCTTAAACGTGAACGCTGCTGACAGAATATCTTCAGAACCAGCCAGGGTCTCACGATAAGCTCCAAGCACATGGAGGCCTGGGGCTAAAACCCAGCACTTTCCAGGAAAAAGGGACCCTGGTTAACGCTGCTGTCAGGCTAAGGGCAGCCTCAGCTCCAAGGACTGGGAGACTGTCCTGAGGCTGCTCCTCGGCCAGCCAGCGCCCGGCCTCCCCTCCTGGCCCAAGAACGTGAGCAGAGCATGCCGAAACCGGTTTGGCTCAGTGGATAGAGCGTCGGCCTGCGGACTGAAGGGTCCCAGGTTCGATTCTGGTCAAGGGCATGTACCTGGGTTGCGGGCACATCCCCAGTGGGAGATGTGCAGGAGGCAGCTGATCGATGTTTCTCTCTCATCGATGTTTCTAACTCTCTATCCCTCTCCCTTCCTCTCTGTAAAAAATCAATAAAATATATATTAAAAAAAAAAAAAAAGAATGTGAGCAGAGCAGTTGCTCCAACATGGAGGGAGCACACAAGTGAGGACTCACCACTGGAAACACTCAGGGAGCTTCCCCCAATGCAGGCTCTGCCTGGGGTTGTGAGAAAGGGCCCGAGAACAGGCACTGCCCCAGTTGCGAGGGCTCCCGCCCGCCCAGCACGCAACCTGGGGGACTGGCTCCAGGTGCCACCCAGACCCCCAAGGCCCACTGCAGTACCGACAGGAAGTGCCTGTTTCTGCCCCAGTGCCCCCGCCCACATCTACCTGGAGCCTGGCAGCAGCAGGGGCTCACACACCAGCTACAAGACCTCCGGGCCACTCCGGCTAACGAATCTAGATGGACAGAGAACACCTGTGGCCTATTAACTCCTGTGCCAACATGAAGACCAAGCGTTCCATTTGGTGCTACATCCCTTTCACCCGAATTCAGCTGGGTTCCACCCTGAGAACTACACGTCACGCATTGACGGCAGAAGCCCAGGAGTCCACAGCAGCACAGGGTGGTAGGTGCCTGGTCAAAACCCCAGCAGCGATCACCTTAACCACACACCGCTCGGTGCCATGTTCACAACACTATATTTAAGAAGTACCTTCCCCTTAAAAACCACGTGAGGACAGAGTGAGCAGATGCCACCTGCAAGCTAAGGAGAGCGGCCCCCGAGAGCCCAACTCTGCCCACACCTTGACGTGGGTTTCTGCCCTCAACGGTGAGAAAATAAATGTGCTATTTAAGCTGAAAAACAAAGCACAAAACCCTTTCTTTCGTGAGTCTGAGGGAGCAGAGCCAGCCTGTTGCCTGTGCCTGATGCAAAGCAAAGTTCCTTCAAATTGTCACTTACTATCAGGCTTCCTTTGCTCACAACGAGGCCTTTCATGGATCTGACCTTCCAGAGACTTCACCAGAGGTGGGTGCGGCAGCCGGCCGGTGTGGGCCAGTGCACGCCCACCGGCACACGCCTGCCTGCCCAGGAAAGCCGGCGGCCCTGCAGTGAGAAAAGCACCAGAGCCTGCGGTTCCCTCCCCTTCTCATCGTGTGATACCATGGCCTTGTCACCACGGACTGCCCGTGTCTGTCTGCGTGCCCTACGTGTCCACGGCCCCAGGGTGCTGACCCTCGCACTGCCCAAGCAGCACCAGAAACGCACTTAGTTCTCTGAGCTGAGAAGACTCAGCACAGCACCCAGCGGCGGCCACGATCCCCCCGCCTCCCAGACGCCCGCCGTGGGTCGGCACGATGCCTGCGCCACAGACCACCACACTGGGGTCTTGAAAAGGGGGACCCGCTGGGATACAGCTCCTTGTCTTTCCTAAGGAGATCGTTGTACATCTGATCATATGTCGTTTTGAAATCATAAACGTTGGGCTTGTCGGGCGCTGGCCCTGGGAGCTTCACGTGAGTCCCTGTTCCGAAGGACCGGACACTGAATCCCCGTTTGCTGAAAGACACAAAGGAGACAAAGATCACAGCTGGGTTAAGTCAGACACGGACCCTGCAAGCAAGGGGCATGCGGTGGGAGCAAACAAATGAGTACCCCTGTTGGTATTCGCGAGCATGCTTTTAAATACTGAACTTTAAGTACTTTATTCAAATTTTAGAGAGTCATGTAGCCTGTTACACAAAAACCGGATGAAACTGAAAATAACGGAGACGCAGGGCTGCCTGCCACGCCGGTTCTCTCCCACAACACGCTCGCACCTCCAGCGGGGCCCAGTGCGCAGCGGGCATGACAAATGGCTGCTAGATGAACGGGACACAGGCCGCACTCAGGCGGAGCTGCTGAGTGACTAGGAAGCCTCTGGATGAGGTGCTGGCATCCGAGTGTCCAGCCGTGAAAGCCGGTGTCACCGCCACCCGACCTCTCACTTCTGGGAGCCCCCCGCCCCCCACATGCACCTGCAACCAGCCCCAGAACTGTCAGCAGCGGCGCTCAACCACCCAAGATGGAACCTGCAGGTCCATCCACACAGCAGGGCACTTCCTGCCACTGAGAAAGGGTGAGGGGCAGCACGTGCGCCGAACCCAGAACTGGTCAGAGAACACGGGGAAACAGATGAGTGGCCAACCAACCGAGGGCCAGGCACTCAGCGGTGACATTCCCCACGGGCCGCCACTGCACATCCCGACGGAGAGGGAGGCCAGGCGTAAGGACGTCCGCAAGTGTGTGCTGTGACCAGAGGGCAACAGGCCCAGCCACCAATCAGACTTGCTGACCACCTCTGCACAGTCCCCTCCCTGCCCCTCACCAATCCAGGTAACATACAAGAAAAGGAGTATTTTCTGTCAAAGCCCCAACCAGCCCGACAAGTCACCTCAACCATGGCGGTGGGAACCAGGCAGCGACAGGAACCCACTGCCTGCTCGATCCCCACAGGGGTCATGGTCATCCAGGCTGGCCGCACCTGCTTCTCTGGAGGTCACGTTCCCCTAAGCTGGCCTCCCAGCTGACCACTGCCCCACAGGAACTGCCCCAACAAGCCACTTCCCCTGCAAGTGCCCTAAAGGCGCTGCCAACGCTCCAGCAACCTGGGGCGTTAATGGCTATTTAACCAAGCCTTTCCGCAGAGTGTGAAACCCATCAGCCCGCACGGCTCCCCGAGGGCAGAGGGACTCATGGGAAAGCAGGGCGCCGAGAAGCCCACAAGCACCAGCTCCCCCACCTCTTCACTGGTTCACCCCTAGGGCACCAGGAGCTGCCTCTCTGGCCAGCGGGAGGGATGTGCTGAGACCCACAGCTCCCCAAGGACCGGTGTGGAGCTGAGGCCTGTGCCCAGCAGAAGGCAGGGTCGTCCCTGTGGAGGGAGCAGCCAGGCCTGGGCCTCAACCGCGAGCTGAGGAGCATGTGGGCCGAAGGTGTGCAGTAACCAGGGAGAACACTTGTGGCCAGGAGAGACCCGAAGTGCAAAAGCAGCTGCTCAACACGTACCTGGACCCACGCTGGGTCTGCCTCCAGAGGCCGCTCGTCTTTCACGAGCCCTGCCTCCTGGCGGTCGTGCTAAACGAGTCACGCGAAACCACATCCAGAAACACCGCTCCACTCAGCTGTGCAGACACTGAAACTGAAGGCCTGTGGCGAGCAAGTCTACGGTGCCGTTTTCTTTTCTTTTTTAAATACATTTTTATTGATTTCAGAGAGGAAGGGAGAGGGAGAGAGACAGAAACATCAATGATGAGACTCACTGACTGGCTGCCTCCTGCACGCCCCCTCCTGGGGACCAAGCCCGCAACCCTGGCATGTGTCCCTGACCAGAATTGAACCTGGGACCTTTCAGTCCACAGGCTGACGTTCTATTCCACCGAGCCAAACCAGCCAGGGCTACGGTGCCATTTTCTAGCAGGCTAAGATGATGATTACCACTTTTTAGCAATAAAGTGTTTTTCCTAGTCCTGTGGTCAGCAAACTGCGTCTCGCGAGCCACATGCGGCTCTTTGGCCCTTGAGTGTGGCTCTTCCTAAGCCTTAGGAGTATCCTAATTAAGTTAATAACAATGTACCTACCTATATTGTTTAAGTTTAAAAAATTTGGCTCTCAAAAGAAATTTCAATCGTTGTACTGTTGATATTTGACTCTGTTGACTAATGAGTTTGCCGACCACTATCCTAAGGATGTACATTATTGGTTTAGACCAGGGGTGGGCAAACTTTTTGACTCGAGGGCCACAATGGGTTCTTAAACTGGACCGGAGGCCGGAACAAAAGCATGGATGGAGTGTTTGTGTGAACTAATATAAATTCAAAGTAAACATCATTACATAAAAGGGTACGGTCTTTTTTTTCTTTTTTTTTTTTTAGTTTTATCCATTTCAAACGGGCCGGATCCGGCCCGCAGGCTGTAGTTTGCCCACGGCTGGTTTAGACAGTGCTACTGCACACTTTAACAGACTGCAGTGCAGCGTGCATATCCATGACTTATGTGCACGGGAAAACAAAACACACAGGACCTGAGGGCGTCTGGAATGCACCCTGCAGTGTCTCAGCTGTGATGCAATGAGGTAACTGGATATTCGGGAGAGAATTTTTGGGGTCGAGGCCAGCTGGCGTAGCTCAGTGTCACTGAGCGTCAACCTATAAACCAGGAGATCATGGTTTGATTCCTGATCGGGGCACATGCCTGGGTTGTAGTCTTGATCCCCAGGAGTGTGTGCAGAAGGCAGCCGATCAATGATTCTCATCATTGATGTTTCTGTCTCTCTCTCCCTTCTCTGAAATCAATTAAAAAATATATACTATAAAAAAAGAAAAGAAAAAAGAGTTGCTTAGGCCCTGGCCGGTTAGCTCATTTGGTTAGAACGTTGTCCTGATACACCAAAGTTCAGGTTCAATCCCCAGTCAGGGCAGGAACCAACCAATGAATGCATAAACAAGTGGAACAGCAAATCAATGTCTCTTTCTCTAAAAGCAACAACAAAAAACAAGTAAGGAATGTATTAAAATGAGCCAACTCTTAAAATGAGCCTAAGCACAGCCACACTTGAAATCGCTGACGAACTATCCAGCGAGTCCATCCGAGCCACAGCAAAGGAGTCAGGAAGCCCCAATGGTGACATTTCAAATGTGAAAAACCACCACTTCTCCTGGCAGCAGGTTCACCTGCCAGTTTGATTCGACAGTATTTCCTGAAGCTCACTAGGTGCTGGGACAGGCAGTGGTCAAAACAGACCCATCTCTCTCCTCAGCTCCTGGGGGGGATGAGAACATAAACAAAACATCCAGGACACAGGACAGTGAGGAGCACGTCCAGAGGCTTCTGGAAGACCCCCTAGAGCAGTGGTTTTCAACCTTCCTAATGCCGCGACCCTTTAATACAGCTCATGTTGTGGTGACCCCCAACTTCATTGTTACAAACTGAACGTAATTAAAGCATAGTGAGTAATCACAAAAACAATATGTAATTATATATGTGTTTTCCGATGGCCTTAGGCAACCCCTGTGAAAGGGTCGTTCGACCCCCAAAGGGGTCGCGACCCACAGGTTGGGAACCGCTGCCCTATAGGGCCTTCCCCTCCACCTGATGCAGCTGTCTGGGTCCGACCTGCGGGGATGCCACCTGGCAGGCCTGTCTCCTGCACTCATCGTGTCATGCTGGGTCTGAGGTTTCACTGGGTGTCCAGATGGAACACTCCCCATAGCCCTGACAGTAACTCATCCCCAAGGTAACCGGGCCCAGCCTTCCCCGCGACCGCCCAGACAAGGCTCCTCGCTGGCTGGGTTTCTCTGAGGAACTGCCTGCTGCCATCCTCACCGCCCTCCAGGCTCTGAGATCGTCACCAACCATGTTTAAAAATAAGATGAATGCAGTTTGTTCCTCCCCCAACAAAATGCTCACAAGTGGCAAAGGCTAATTAGCAGCAAAGCCCTGCTTCTTCTAAGCTGGTGCAACGACATAACAGCCCATCCTGCGTGTGACAGCTGTGCCGTGTGACAATCTGTTTCTTACATAAGAGAACCAAGGGCTAGAATAAAATTCCTGACAACAACAGGCTTTGTTTCAACGGTCAACTATTTTCTATGTTAATCTAACCTTCCAGACAAGTGTTTACCAAACACCTTCACAAGTACAAAAATCTTTCATCAAGAACCTATCTGCCCCGGCCAGTGTGGCTCAGTTGGTTGGGGCATGTCCTCTACACCAGAAGGTGGCGGGTTTGATTCCCAGTCAGGACACAAGCAGAAGACAATTGATCGATGTTTCTCTCCCTCTCTTTCCCCCCTCCCTCTCCCTCTAAGATAAACAAAACCTACCCAAGACAATGTTAAATGTGGGGTATAGAATTGTTTCCCTTGCTATCCAGCAACTACAGGGAAAATGCTACCGTTAAGAAGAACACCAGCCAAAGCCGGTTTGGCTCAGCGGATAGAGCATCGGCCTGCGGACTGAAGGGTCCCGGGTTCGATTCCGGTCAGGGGCATGTACCTGGGTTGCGGGCGCTTCCCCAGTGGGGGATGTGCAGGAGGCAGCTGATCGATGTTTCTCTCTCATCGATGTTTCTGACTATCTATCTCTCTCCCTTCCTCTCCGTAAGAAATCAATAAAATATATTAAAAAAAAAAAAAAAAAGAAGAACACCAGAAGAATCCAGAAGAATCGTAAGAGGGTCACTGCTGCAGTGCGAGCACTAACCTACTGGGAAGCATTCCTCTGGCTAAGAGTGAGCCCAGACCTGCCAGCCTCCTGGGAGCACAGCCTGTGGGGACAGTGCCCTCACCACGTCCCCTCCACAGCTAAGTCACTGCTCCTCAGCCCCATCGCTAGCTACGGGACCTCATGCCCACAGAGCACAACCAGCTGCTCCCAAGCTACCTCACCTACAGTCTGCCTGCAACTTCACTGTGAGCCAGCCAGGACTGGGAAGACACACTCTGAAATGTCAACATTTCAATAAAAGTTATGTTCTCACCAGCAAATTGTGGGCCCTAAACACATTCCAATAAACATTT